GGGGGCGCAAAGGCTTACGTCGCCGTCAACTATAGCGTGACGTGGCGTTGTGGTTGTTGGAGCTGACTTCGACCCAACTCAACAGCGAAGTAGGTGAATTAACTTCCATTGAATTAACGACGAGAAATGCGCGCCGTGAGCAAGAAATAACCGACACAAGTTAACCACTGTGCTCTTAAAGCGCGTTCAGGACAATTCAATGGAAAGTTTCAGGAAAATTTCAGGAAAATTTCTGGAAAAGACGTAAAATTTCTGGAAAAGACGTAAAATTTCTGGAAAAGACGTAAAATTTCTGGAAAAGACGGAAAATTTCCGGGAAAAAAGAAAAATTTTCCATAGATTTTGCAAAGTTTTCCGGGTTTTTCTCGTATATTTTCGGAAATTTTTCAGAAATCTTCCGGAAAATTTGCGAAATTTCCAACCCTATGCGCACGGCTGGTGGGGCTTGTCTCTACTGTACGCCGCGCTGCATTTGTTCTCACTGCCGTCCCCATATTTCAATCAGATGAGCTCGGACGTGCGGGTCTGAGTCTCCCGAACGAACCCCCCCGGCGGCGGGGGCGGTCGGCCCGCCCCTGTGGGGGCCGGGGGGCGCCACCCTGTCGCCGCCGGAGCGGCCTATACCTCCTCCCACTCTGTCTCTCCCCCCCCCCCTTTCTCTACCTCTCTCACTCCCTATCTCTCTCTCTCTCGTCCTCTCTCTCTCTCCCCTTCTCTGCCTGCTCGATCCTGACGCTGCTGCCTGCATGTGGCCAGCAGCGCGGGCGCGGACCGACGCGGTGGCGGCGAAAGGGGTTGTAGGCGCGCTGCCGCCGCACGGGCGAGGAGGAGAAGAACTGGGGGAAGGAGGAGGAATAGGGGAGGGGGTCAGATTTATCTCTTTGTTTACAGCGATTGGCGGGAAAGAGTATAGAGCACCTCAATGCTATCGCGATATCCTGTGTGTGTTTGTGTGAGTGTGTGTATGTATGTGTGTGTGTTGGCGCGCGCGTGTGTATTTGTGTGAGAGTGGGCGGCCTCTCAAGTGTAGCGAGTGTGCATTGTATTCTCCTAGAAGGTCCCAGGCTACAGAGACTCAAAGGGCGAGCCGCGGCGACGTCAAAGTTATTGGCCTGGGCCATACCGGTGCGTTTGGAGAAGGAGACTCCGGTAATTGGAGCTCCCTTAATTATTACGTCTCACTGTTCGTCGTCCGGAAGCGTTCTGCTCTCAAAGTGTAAAGTGTATAGGGGGAGTTTGGGTTTGAAATTTCCAAAATTTTCTGAAAATTTTCCGAAAACTTTCCGAAAATACACGGAAAACTTTCCAAAATCTGCGTAATTTTTCATTTTTTCCCGGAAATTTACCGTTTTTTCCAGAATTTTTCCAGAAATTTTCCGGAAACTTTCCAGGAATTCCAACCCTAGGGAGTAGAAGGGTTCGCCCCAGAGGGAGCAAAATAAGAGGTGTGGAACCAGTAGACTGATGACAAGACATGAGCTGTGGTAGCTCATGATTGGTTTGTGAGGGTAAAACCTTGGCGGATGCAGCGGGTCAGTTAATCCTGCTGAATTCTCGTTTTGATACTGTGTATATCACAATGTCTAGCCAAATAAGCTGAGCTCCGACTACTAATTCCTGGGCAGTGGGGCTTTTTCCAGTCACCATTCAGCCAACATAGCTCCCATACCTAACTCTTGCCTGCTGCAACTCGTGCACAGTCTCTCTCTCTCTCTCTCTCTCTCTCTCTCTCTCTCTTTCTCTCTCTCTCTGGGATTCTTTAGCGCGCGCGTTTGTGTGTGTGCGTGTGTTATTGTCCTTCCGTTGTCATTTAGTCAATGATGCGATCGTAAAATATGAAAACGGGTGCAGTGAAGAAGTATATTTAGCAGTGAGAAACAGGACAACGTGATAGTAGCGAGGATAGGCATAGATGCACCTGGAGTTGTAGGTGGCCGGTTTTTCAGTGACACTTCTGCACGACATCCATAGCCAGACGCACGAAGTCTGCGCCTCCAGTGATGGCGGCGCAGATGGGGAACTGGATGAAGAGCGGCAGCGACGGGTCCTTCTGTGCCTGCTCCACGCAGATGTAGATCCACGCGGGCACATCCTTGAACAGCGTGCCGACGATCTCCATGACGCACTTGGCTTGGTCGGCTCCTCCTCGCACCGCTGTTGGGATGAGGGAATGTAAACCGTTTAGGCCCGTCATTGTTTTACCAACTAAAATTGATGAGAAACATTCATTTGAGAGTTGATTCATCTTACCCAAAGTGTTGGTAGATTCCGCTGGGGCAGCCAGGGGTATCGCCTAAGGAACAGCAGACGCATTCGATTAGAGTGAAGGAGTATTCGGCTTAGAATTGAATAGTTTTGTTCAACTGCACAGGAAGGGTAAAAGTTTCAGCAGCAGCAGGTCACCATTCCAAGTATTTTCGTTTAAACTGTCTGTTACTATTCCCTCGAATTTTCAAAACCCTCACATCGTCTTTTAAAACACATTTACGTGCTTTCACAATGTGTAATGCACAGTACTGTGCATCAATTAAATTGTAGTATACCATATGTGTACAAATGAGATTTTTGCAGAAGAGAGGCGAACGAGTAAAACGTAATCTGTTTTAAAACCTCTATAGCTTTCAAGAGAAACGACAGTCGCCACACGGAGAAAAATTTTTCCTGCCGGGCACTAGACGGTTGTTTAGTGCGTCCTACTTTGTTCCTGGCACAACAATTTAGTTCCCGCCACTAAAATTACTGTGCGTGGCAACAAAATTTTAAAGCTCGGCAACAAAAATTTGTACAAAAACTGTATAGTGCGTCAAAAACTTTCGGTCTCGGGACAAAATGTTAAGTGCTCAGGACCAAAATTTTTTCTCAGTGCACTACTTCCACTGTGAAAAATAGTCGTAGGTTCACGGGCAAATTTTCCATGGCATGCAACTACAGTTTAAAATTGTATATTTAGAAGCACTTCGTATTGCCTCGGAGTTGATCGACAAGCATCAATGGTCTGTCGCAAATTACAACATGTTGTGGAAATAAAAGTTACTACGAATGTTGCAAATGCGCCAGGATAGTTGTATTCCTCAGCCCCCTCTCACCTGACTGAACTGCAGCGCTGCGACGAGCAGGCAGGCCAGGACGGTGGTCTTCATGATGGTGTTCATGGTGGATCAGACGACGCTGAGTGTGTGGGTGTGATTGGAAACACTCGGTGGTTTTATACGCAAACTTAAACTGTCCCTTATCGCAGAGTGTCTTCCTACCATCGCCTCATGTACTCCACACGCCCCGCGTCAAAGAGGTCGAGTGGTTTGTAGGCATATTTACACTCTCATCGCAACGAAAATGTGCGCTCGTTATCACAAACTTCGTAGTAAACAGTGGTTTGCCAATGGCTTGTGCCCCTTCAGATCGGGCCTGAGGGCTCTCAGCGACAATTTGTAAGTGGCATAACAGCCCACTCACCATGATCGGTCTGATCAGTCCAAACTCACGCGATAGTTTAAAGAGATCAAGTGCTTTTCATGGGAATTCATCAGATCTGGGGGGACAGGAGTGTCATATCTAGGATTTCTTCATCATCCCCCGCATAGATCAACGCGATTGACATCCGTAATGACATAGCATCATTCTAGCTATTATATTCATACTGTAAAAA